TCAGTGACAGTGGATTATCAATGCCAGTCACTGACAGTGGATTATCAGTGACAGTCAGTGACAGTGGATTATCAATGACAGTCACTGACAGTGGATTATCAATGACAGTCACTGACAGTGGATTATCAGTGCCAGTCACTGACAGTGGATTATCAGTGACAGTCAGTGCCAGTGGATTATCAGTGACAGTCAGTGCCAGTGGATTATCAGTGACAGTCAGTGACAGTGGATTATCAATGACAGTCACTGACAGTGGATTATCAGTGCCAGTCAGTGCCAGTGGATTATCAATGACAGTCAGTGACAGTGGATTATCAGTGACAGTGGATTATCAGTGCCAGTCAGTGCCAATGGATTATCAGTGACAGTCACTGACAGTGACTTGGCAGTGTCAGTTAATCTGGCAGCACCAATTAGTATCATTTTGTTGAGAATTGATAATATTAGAATTGTGCAATAAATTACTGACTGTTTAATGATGTCCCTGATTAGTGATATGAGATTTGTTGTAGAAGGTAGTGACATTTTGTTAACAATATTTATTTAACTTAGATGTGGTGCTTTGAGCAGCATCATTTAGTGCTTTTGGATTAGCAATGCTAGTTAGCGATGATATCACTATTAGTGACGTAAGATTAATGCTACCAATAGTTATGTCAGACCGCTAGTACTAGATTGTGGCATTTGATCTATAGCTCTTTTTCGTGACATTGGACTGTCAGCAACAATTTTTGGTATTATTAGATTGCTAGAACCAGCTAGTTATATTGCACCGGCAGCATCAGCCATAGTTAATGATATTGGACTGGTAGTATTTGTTGGTCATGTTAGACTGTTAATATTGCTTATAATGTTATTGGACCACCAGCACCAGTTGGTGATGTTAGATAGTTAGCACTGGTTAGTTGCATTATCAGTGAGCAGTGGTCACTGTTGACTGGCAGCACTGGTTTGTGATGTTCTTTTGTTAGCACTAGTTAGTGATGTAAGACTAGCACAGGTTAATGACATTAGGCTAGTAATAGAATGTTGGATTACTAGCACTTCGTGATGTTAGACTGCTAGCTCCAAATAATAGTGTTAGACTGGTACTATTAGTTAGTATTAGTTTGCGAATACTAGTTATAATTATTCAACAGTAATTATTGCAATTGGGTAACAATGGTTACTGGCATGAGTACTGATTGAGGCAGTACCAATGAGAGAGAATTCATTAGCACACTGGTTAGTCTCAACCTCAGACTGCTAGTTAAGGACAATAGACTGAACGTGCTTGTTTTCTG